TGCTGTCTTTTTATTAACCTGCATGCACCGATTACCTTCTGTATGTTGAGGATTCCTGACTTTATAACCCAGGTCACTCTCATGTCTAAGATTCACATACCCAACCAGAATGTCCAAAAAAATCTTAAGCTCAACAGGCTCCAAATCAAAATAATTGTTTTCTCTCAAAGCTGCTGTTACTCTTGTGATTACTGATATCAGTGAATAGTACTACCCTCCATCCAGTTGCTCAAATACAACACCCAGGAGTCCCTCCTGAATCCTGTCTCTTCCTTCTACCATATGCAATTTATTTCCAAGCCCTGGCAGTATTTCCTCACAGATTTCTCCCTTTTGTTCCATTTCAGTCCTCCTGGCCTAGCAGAGCACTAGCATTCCTCATCTCTTCAGAAGTCTCCTTACCTTCTCCTCCGGCCACCTGCAATTCATCTGAAGATTGCTAGATTACTGATCATGACATAACCACACTTAAAATCCCTCAACACTCAAATTAAATTTGACTCATCTAATACCTTCAAGAAAATCATGACCTTCACCTTCTGGTTTACTCTTCCCTTCTCTTACACATAAGGATGTATCTTCATTCCCATACACTTCTATATGAACCTTGGTCAACCTCTGGGATTTCATATAATGGGTTGGATGACATTCCCACTAAGCTGCCTAACTTCCACTCAATTTCAATTTAGACATCACTTCCTCAGAAGATATCTGGGATCTCCATCACCGTCCCAGATTAGGTGGCCCTCTTGTACTCCTATCACAATTCACATTCATATTATATAACTGTGCTTTCTTCAAGAATATACTTATGAGGATATGGGCTATTTATACTGTGTTTATCAAGTTCTGTACAATGCCTGGCACTCTATTGATATAGAAATTAAACTGAATCTTTATTTTCATCTATTCTTGTCTTTGTGATCTGGGAGCATTTATGAGCCTTGTCTTCTATTGATTCAAATTTCCGCTTTGCATTTCTGGTATTTATCATGTTTGATGCATCTAATTTTGCTTCTCTTTTTCAACTGCATGTCATTTTTATTTTTCCTCATTTCTGCCCATTCCATTTTCATGAACTGCACAACTTTTTAGCTAAAATTAAGCATACGTTCTAATAACCTGCCATGGCAGTAAATCTATTTTAGAGCAAAGTCAGTATCAGAATTGTCAGGACACTGCTTTTTTTATTTGGCTTTTGGTTGTGTGTGTGTGCACACGTGCGCGTGCAGTATTATTATTCCTAAATCCTACAATTGTTTGGCTATACCTGAATCCTCATAAAAAATTAAGGATGGAAGGCAATAGAAGAAGACGTGAAAAGGAAGCATTCATAACAGAAAGGACAAACTCTTTTGCCACTATCCACTGCAGATACATGCAAACCTGATACCAAAAAAAGTAGCAACAAGGTATCACATGCAAGATTTCTACCAGTGTGTCTTCTATTTAAAAGTAGTGATCAAAACAAATACTACTCTTGGCATTCTCTTAGAAATAAATGATTCTTGGGTGGTAGAACTGAGGAAACACTACATCCCAATGTTCTAAAAATATGTTCAGAGTGCTGGCTGCTGCAGAGTAGAAGGGGAATGGTTATACATAATTCATTTAAAGTTTAGAATATCACCACTACCTGTCCTATTTTACTTTAATTGAACAGACAATATTCTTAAGTTTTTCAAGCCTTCCTTTATTCTTCTAAGGGTGTGTGTACATGTGTATATTTGTGTTGGGTGTATGAAAGGTTTTTCACTGTGCATTCAAACTGCCACTTTGGCCATAATTTTTATGCACTAATTGTGTTACTGTTGCTAAACGAGGCCACGAATGCATTGCCCAATTCTGCCCTTTTTGATGGCAGCAAATAATTAAGTTGTCAGTTAAAATTAAGAAGGAACAGGAGGACCAGGGAAAGATGATCTTTATGTACTACATTAAATCTTTAGCATAAATTAGCATAAATCTTTCAATATTGATAATGCATATGTTAAAGCAAACATAGGTATATATCACAGTTAAGGAATAAGTCTTCAGTAGGTTCCAAAAAATACTAGCTTTCCTATGTAGGAAAGACAACTACTATGCATAATTTAAAGTTACCACATCAAACACATGGCTCTTTTGCAAAGCATCATAGCAATCTGAAAATGAAAGAGTTCATATTTTCAAATAAACACAAAATAAACCAATTAATTCTGAATAAGTAGTAACAACTTTATTTTAACTCAACGTGCTGAAATGCAAAAAATATTTTCAGCAACAAGATACAAAAGTATGTATCTCATCATTAACATCAGCTGATTAAAAATGAGGCTGAAAAGTTCAATATAAGTCTTTACACATTTGAATCTTGAAAATTACGTTCCCCCAGATTTAATTTTTAAATAATTTTAGCAGAATTTTATTTTCAAAAATGGGATTCATTTAAGTTATATCTTCATTCTAAAAAAACCGGATGTGAAATTAACTGGGTTACAGTATACAACGATAAACTCTAACAAACAGAAAAAGATTTAAATATAAGAATTTCTTTTTAAACATGAAGTCCACATACTGCAAACAGAAGACACGGTGTGGTGATTTCATTCCTAGTGAAGAGGAAGTCTTGCATATGGTAGGCACTCAATATTTGTTCAACTAGACCTAAAATTGACATCATTCCATGAACACTTAAATAGAGCTCATAATCTGTATAAAAGAGGTTTGCAAAATACTCTATGTGCTGAAAGTGCTGTCTTTATAATCTGAAAATAGTAAAACCCACCCACCCACCTCCTTTTGCAAGAATACATGGAGTATTTTTATTTTATCCATCAAAGAGCAAGAATGTCCAAGTCAGAATAATTCACCTTTCAAATACCTTGTTACGAGGAAAGCTTGTTTAGTTGGATTTTAACAAAACAATTTGCTGAAATCTCTAGTGTTCTAATTTAGTAACACTGGGTAGCATATATGATCCACATTTTCATAAAAAATTTTACTTAGGTTTTACATTTATGCACAAAACTTAAATGGGTAAATAAATCAGTAATTATGCTTTTGGCAATTTAAATTCTAACTTAGGTCTAGTTTAAAAATAAGCTAATAATGTTCATGATAAGTTTTTAAGAGATCTGTGAGAATATTTTAAAACTTAACTTTAAAATTGATGTCCTAAAAAGGCACTGTTTTCACATTTCATCATGCAGTAAATGGTCACATTTTTGAAAATTATAATTTCCTATCAACTGTCCCCCAAAATAAAGCATATTTAATGAAATATTTCAACTAACCTGAATTTTCAACATTTAACTGAGTCCTATTTTCAGAAATTCACTCTTCTGAACATACCACACGCAAGTCCAAGCAAACACAAGTACGTACATACACACACACACACACACACACACCTAAATGACATAATACATGCATGGTTCTCCAATTACTATTTCAAGACAATGACACACGAGTATTCAAGGAGGTAACAATGGCAAGCCATAACATTATGGCACCTTCATATTTGTGCTCTAAATACCAATATATGTTAAATTTTAAAAACGAAAAAGGCACAAATACAGTGTTTCTGTATCTCAGGCTAATGAACAGATCTCCAATGGTTACTTCAATAACATGTAACATTTAAAACCAGTCACTACTTTTCTAAGGAAAAGCTCTGTTTAGGTGACAAAAGGGAAACAAGAGCAGACTGATAAAAGGCAAAACTGCTCAGGACAGAGACTGTGCCTACTGAAAACAATGTTGTGTAGTTTCAAAATGAAAAAATAAAAAGGCTATTAGAGCACTCATGCAGAATACACTGAGTTTTTTTTTCATTGCCTCAAGAACCCACAATACCAAACAAAACAAAACAAAAAACAAAATTCCCACGTAATAAATAAAAAAAAATAAATCAACTATGATACGATTCTGTTAGTATAATGGTAGGCATTATATTATCTGCAAAGTGGACATTTCTACAAACGTGGATATTCTCACAGCACAGTGTTTGACGTTTTTGGTACAAAATGTGCTACCAAACTTAAAACAAAAACAAACCAAGAAATAACTTTATAATAAAACCTTTAAGATCTGCAATAAACACGAATGTAAGTAGGTAGGAGCAAGCTGCAGTGTTCATTATATAGGTGTTATTACTGAAGTCACCATCGTTAGAAATGAAGATGCAAGCAGTGAATTAATTCACAATGAGCCTGTGTGCATTTGATATAAATGGATACACCAGTACTTTTTTTGAAAACAACATTCTACTGCCTGAGGAATTTTAAAACCCTGGCAAAACATTAAAATCTTAACGTATATATGTATGTGTGTGTATTAAATTTGTACATTGTAAATTTAATGGACTCAATCTGGTTAAGGAAGTGAGGTTCTGCTCCCTACAGTATTTTTACACAGGATGGAGTCCAACAACATGTAAGAATCCTTCTATCCCAAGGGATTTTTCCAATTTCAAATTTAAGTTAACATAAGAAAGATTCCAATTAAACTACACAGAAAGAAATGAAGATATCTGAAAATATGATCTTTTCAAACTACAGTTTGTTGTGGATAACAAATGCTTAGTCGAGAATGTTTGTTTAATGTAAATATGAATCACTCTTTATATATTAAGATTGCTTCAGTGAATACCTAACAAAGAGATAACAAAAATAAAATCTCAGGCTTCATTTTTCTCCTTTTGTCCTAAATTCAAAAATTAAATAAACACATCATACAAATTTTAATCTGGAGAATAAAGTATATATGCAAATATATAGGTATATGTGTTTTTTTCCAGTGACACTTTTTCCCTTGTGGTCAAGTATAAATCTTGCCTAAGAAGCATACTGTCACTATTACAGGAAATCAGATGCAGTGACTTACCACTGATCGCTCCTACTTCTCTGGGACAATGCACCAGAACAGACCTCCACTGTGAACAGAGCTATCCAAACACTGAACACGTGTATGTGTTTAAAGCTAAATTCATTTCTAATAAAGAACTGGCCCATGAAAAACAGTTTATAAATCGTTTATCCTGTTCACATTATGCAGAATTTCAGTATCATCCACAATGTTAGTACAGTAACTGAAACAGAAAGGAGAAAGCTAGGGGGGGAATAAAGGTTCAGAGTGTGGCCTGACATATTTCTAAAGGTTCTCTCCTCTAGTCTGCAAATAATGTAAGTTCACTGTTTTCAGAAGGAGAGTAGAGTATCCAGGATTTGTTTATTGTTCAGTTGCCTTCTCCAAAGTGTGATAAGACAGGAATAAATTCAATAATAAATATCTGAAATTCAAACCAATTTAACTATAATCAAGGATATCTTTCTTATCTATTATCACAAACATCCCAATTGCCTCCATCGGTCTTAAAAAATCCTTTCAAAAGTTAAGACACAATTAATTATACCTTATTAATACCTTCAAAACAAAAAAAATATGTACCATTTAGCATACAAAAGTTACACATTAAAAGTGCATATATATCTTTCTTAATTGGCCCACTTGTTAAATTTACATTTGGTCATCCTTACTTTCAACATGGACAGAATTCTTCATATAAACGTAGGTCACTATAAATTAAAAAAAAATTAATTCAGCACAAAACATGCTTTCTTTTTATTGAAATCTTAACCTCAATCAGTCCTCAATCATTGTAAACTTGAATAAACCCACAAAAAACACAAGCAAAGGTTTGTTATGCTTCTCTTAGTTTGTTGGACAGTCAACACACAGACAAACATCATAAATTTTACTAAAAATTTGGGCCAACTCATTGCATATTTGCCCCCTGAAATGAAAAATAAATTAGAATTGAAGCAGTGTATTGCCGTAACTTACCTTGAAGGTAAGCAGGTTCTCCTATATTTATAAAACTTAGACTGGAGACATTATCAGTAATCTCCAATACAAGTGCTTTTAAGAACCTAGTTTTAAACTTTGAGACAGCATAGGACAAACCCTATAAAATTCATTTTGCTTTTTTCTCAAACTAATGGAAGATCCTTTTCAAACTTAATATCTTCAGTTATCAATATTACTGCATTATGGAGCTAGTGCAATCCTGCATAGCCTTAGTCAAAATGACAAGGCACAATAAAAAAATTAAAGTATTATATGAACAAGAGAAGTCATTGAAGATAATTTAAGGCCTTGAAGTGAATTAGAGTATAATCAGTCTAATTTAAAGCTGAAGAATAAACCATAAATTATCCACCTGAAATGCAAGCAATATGCTTTTTCAGCTTCTGTTCTGTGGACAAGACAACAGAAACAACTCTTGCTTATGGTTTGTATATTAGAATCCTTCTGGACCTGGAGAAGTAAAAGTCAATTCCATTTTTCTACAGTTCATGGAAGATTTCAGGACTGTTTTAGCCGTTTGCGTGGAATGCCAAACTGTGGACACTGTGCAGATGCTAGTGCTCGGAAGGCTTCTGCAACTAAATGAGGGTGAGACTGAATCATGGACTTCCACCCTGATGTTTCCATTATGTCCGCGGCTTGGCTGGAAAAATAAAGTTAAGTTATGTTTATTAAAGAATACTTCTCAAAACACTTAAAAAAAAACTTACAAATTTCAAAATGTTTTAAAAACACTTTACTTCTCTATGTCATCAAACCCCATGAATTCATGAAAATACCATCTTTACCTTACTGGTATTTTCTGTTGCAACTGAAACGATTAAATTCTTCTGGAAGTTCTATACTCTGGAAGTATCTTACACTTTTCTCCATAGTCCTAACTCCCACTGCTACCATTTCTGTACCAGCTCTTTCAAGAGCTCTTTTCCCTGGCTGTTACACACAGGTTTTCTCTAGAGTTCCAACTTTGGCCCTCTGCTCTTCTCCCTTAAGGTTCATTATTCATCCTATCGTATCCACTCTTCACAATTTTAACTATCATATTCAATGATGATAACGACTGATTTGCTAAATCCTAGGCCTCCCCACAAGGTACACTCCCAACCACTTTTTCTCTTTATTTGGAAGGGACTCAGGACCTACAAACTCAGAATCGTCAGGTAAGAACTCAACAGGTCTCTCTCCACGCCCCAAATTCTTCTTCCCTCATTTCCAATCAGCTAATGTTACCACCATCCCCAGTGATTCAAGTCAAAAACCTGAGTCATCCTAGACCTTGTCCTTTCCAATCAATCACCAAAAGCCCTATTTTAATTCCCAAAGATATTTCAAATCCCCAGTCAAGGTTCACATTATCTCACATTTGGATTATCACAACAGTCTCCTAATTTGTTTTCCAGTTTCCTATCTTGCTCCTCTCAAACCGGCTTCCATGAGCTGCTTTAATAACACAAACAGGTTTACACTGCATCCTCTTCTACTGTTCCCCATTGCCTGTATCCATGTTCTTTAGACAGAGAAACAAGTTTTCCTACTTCCTCTACCTGTGCACCTTGTGCTTACATGCTCGGGGCACTTCACACACTGATACAGAACTGCTCACTGTATATCAACTGAGCATGCAGAGTAAATACTGAGTAACAAATCTAGTTATCCTTGTCTCTTTTCTCCCTTGTACTTATCCACCATTCAAATAATATCCAAATATTATAGACTATCCTTTGAAAATACTGTATCTTTCCCATTTCTCTCTAGCCCCAACTACTACCACTCAAGTCTAATTTCAACCTTCATCTCTTGCCTGAACTACTCCAATAATGTTCCAAGGTGTCTACGTGTAGTTGACCTCGCTCCTCAACTACCACTACCACCGCAAGCTCCCCACAACTGATTCTCTACCCTGCATGCAGAGAGATTGCTAAAAATGAAAACCTGATCATGTCCTACACTAGGTTAAAACCTTTCACTGTATGCCCATTTCTCTTCAATGTCTTAAAGTCTCAATGTTATTTACATGGCCTTCTAGGATCTGATCTCTGCCTGCTTTCTCTAGCTTCTTCTCATTACCTCACTCTGACTCTATACTGTTTTTTCTTATCACCCAAACTTTGCACAATTGATTCCCTTTTTGTGGGATAGACTTTCACACTTCCTCCCTCTTCTTTACCAGGGTAACTCCTACTAATATTTCAGGTGTTTATTCAGTAATTCCTCAAAAAGGCTTTCTTTCCCTAGTTTAGGTAAGGTTCTTTTTGCTATATGCTTGGATGGGTATGCTATACATTATCTATTGTTACACTTTATTTCAATTACTTGTCTAATTCCTATTTGCCTCCTGCTAAACTATAAACTGCATGAAGGCAGGGGGAACATTTGTCATGTTCACTACTATATTCTTTGTATAAGTACAGTGCCTAGAGTATTTACTGGGTAATAAATATAAATATCTGTCGAATGATCACCTACTGCTTCATGCTTCTATACTTTGGATTGAGCTATTCTTTCTGTTCACAATGCCTGTTATTTCCTTCTTAGTTTTGCTAATTCCTATTCATGTTTAAAGGCTCAGATGTCATCTCCAGGAAGCCATCCCTAAACCATCCAGCCTTTATCCAGTGCCCTATACATATCTTCCTTTATTACATTACTTACTACATTATAATAATATATTCATGTACTTAGCTTTTATCATCAGATAAATTTCTCAAGAGAAGGATTTTTCCTAATCGTTTTTATATGCAACTCCTTAGCATGGTGCTTGAGACACAACAGATGCTAGGTAAATGTTTGTGGAACTAAACAGTAGCTAATAACAACTTTTTTCAATTTGCCTGACATCATATTACCTCTATGTCATTATGTTTATAACTTAACTAATTGTTCAGAATTAAATAGATACCTCTTAATATATCTGACATTTTCATTTAATTCAACAAATATCTACTGAAGATCTGTATATACAACAGCTTCTCCAGAGGATGTGAAATAAACTGGCATTTTTTTACAGTGAAAAAAATTGTACAATGTAAAATATTTTCTTAACAGAATAAAACTAGAACTTGAAAGTGGCGAAGAACAAAGGATCACAAAATTATCATTTACTGCTAATAAATTATACTTTAGAATCAAAAGGATTTTTTTAGGATCAAATGCCATGATGATAATGTATTATCACACACTAACCAATATAAAAAACAACCAATAACTTAAAAGTAGTCATGGATGAAAACAATGGGAAGTAATTAGGTCAACACTCATTGTCTCTAACTCTTTTTTCACTTATATCAACTTTTGATAATACGTGAAAATGGAATCGAAGGGTTTACAGGTAAAAACTAATCAAAAGCAGGTGCAAATTCTTCAAACTATCTAGTCTTCACCTTTTTTGACTCTGAAAAATTACAAAAAGTAGACAAATCACTCTAAAAATGAGAGAAGAAAATATAAGAAGGGAATATAAGTTCTAGTAGTTCATATTCAGAAGGCCCAGATTTAAAAATATGGAACAACTACCACACCTCTTACAGTTTTACCAGGGAAAGGAAAGAACAAATTGAACGATTTGGGAATATTAAACAGCTACTCTAAAATACCATATGATTCAAGGGACTTGGCTAACCCAGCAGCAGTGGGTGAACATTCAAATGTAAATATTTTCTAGGCAAATATGGAGGGAACACTCCTCAGAGGATAAAATGAGTATTTCCCACATTTTTAGAAATGCTTTCTGAAGGGGCAGGGAAAAGCTCTCCAATAGCCATTGAAATACCTGGACTCAGCTATATACTATGAGCATATGTGCTTAAGAAATTAAAATGTAGATCCCAGTTCACATTAGAAGCTGATCCACAAGGGAGCATAGCCTCAAGAATCCACTAAGTCAAGTTATTATTTTTTAAAATAACTGGCAGTTTGTGTCATATAACTAATATCTGGATTCATACTTATTGCAGATGAGCAAAAGGCTATGCAAACACTTAATTTCATGTATGCAGATCAACTTTAAGTCAGAAACTGATGTCATCTTACTTGCTGTTCCAGTTTTTCCCATCTTTACACCCAAGCTGTCGAAGTACACTGCACCTGCATTGAAGATTTAAACACACTTAAAAAAAAGTCCGGTGAAAAAATGTTGAAGGTGTCATGCCCACTGAAATACAGGCATAGCTTACCTATTAATAAAGTCTATGGCTTGTGCTTTCAGCTGTTCTGCACTGTGCAAATCTGCAAGGACAAGGGTATCAGCAACATTTTCTACTGAGAGGTTACTACACAAAGCTTCTTCACACATGACCTTCAGCCGTTCCAGTGCATACTATCCAAAAGGAAAACATAACAATTAAACATTTACTCAAACTACCAAGTTTTAAATACTTGGTATTTGTAATTTAGAAAATACTTGATATCTGTAACTTAGAAAATAAAGTTAAAGCACATTATACTTTGAACTGAGAATAAAAGTCTTTTATTTTTTTTAAAAGATGATTTTTATTTATTTATTTTTGAGAGACACAGAGAGAGAGAGAGCGAGAGAGAGAGAGCGCTAGAGCAGGAGCGGGGGGAGGGGAGCAGAGGAAGACTCTCTGCCAAGCAGGGAGCCAGATGTGGGGCTTGATCCTAGGACCCTGGGATCATGACCTGAGCTGAAGGCAGATGCTTAACTGACTGAGCCACCCAGGTGCCCCTATGACTGAGAATAAAAAAAAGTCTTAAAGTTATTTTAACCTAGTATTAAGAAGATACAAATGAAATGAATTCAAGAGAAAGACTAATTTGCTTTAGGAAATTTCGATTTGTGCGAAATACATACTGTCAATTTTAAAAACAGGGTTTTCTTTAAAAAAAAACCCTTCTTGTTCAATACTCTTGAGTGAATTTCTTTTCTCAAAACGCCAAAGTGTACCAGCCAGTACACTCTATGTTGCCACTGCTCAGTCCTGAAGAATGAATTATAAAGCTGAAAAAATCATTTTGATAACCACTTTAGTTATTATGACAACTTCAGCAGCTTTATTGAAGTATAACTGATATACAGACAACTGCACATATTTAAAGTTTATACTTTGATAAGTTTATACCATATAACCATCATTAAAACATGACATTGAACATATTCATCATCCCCAAAAGTTTCTTCCTACCTCTTTGAATTCCTCCCCTTACCCCACTCAAGGCTACACCTCTGATATGCTCTCTCCTGCTGTAGTTTGCATTTTCTGGAGTCTTCTACAAATGGAATCATATAATTTGTACTCATTTCTGACTGCCTTCTTCTACTCAGCATACGTATTTTGAGATTATGCATGTCTTTGCCATTTTATCAACAGTTCAGTGCTTTTTATTGCTAAAAAATATCCCATTGCGTATAGACATACCACATTTGCTTCTGAATTCCTCTGTTGAAAAACACTTGGGTGTTTCCAGTTTTTAGCTATTACAAATAAAGCTTCTATTCACATCCAAGTCACTGTATCGGAATATGCTTTCTTTTCTCCTGGATAAAAAAGTAGACTCCCTAGATCACAAGTGTGAAACTTTTTAAGAAGCTGCCAATCTTTCCAAGTGGTTGTAACATTTTACATTTCCATCAGCAGTGTATGAGAGTCCTAATTCCTACACATCCTTGACCATACTTAATATGGTCTTTGTAATCTCAGCTATTACAATACATGTGTAGAAATGTCTCATATGGCTTTAATTTACCTTCCCCTAGTAACTAATGATGTTGAGCATCTTTTGATGTATTAACTGACATTAGTTTAGAAAGTGTTTGTTCAAATATTTTCTCTATTTTTAGAAATAACATTGTTAGGTGGCTGGGTGGCTCAGTCAGTTAAGCATCTGCCTCTGGCTCAGGTCATGATCCCAGGACCCTGGGATCGAGTCCTGCATCAGGCTCCCGGCTCAGCAGGGAGTCTGCTTCTCCTTCTACCCACCCCTTTCCCCTGCTCATGTACTCTCTAATAAATAAAATCTTTAAAAAAAGTAAATACATATTTCCTTTAAAAAAAAGAAATAATATTGTTTTCTTGTAACTGAGTTTTGACAGTTCTTTATATAGTTTGAATACAAAAGTCCCTTAGCAGGGGTGCCTGGGTGGCTCAGTCAATTAAGCAGCCAACTCTTGATTTCAGCTCATATCACGAACTCAGGGTCATGAGATCAGGCTCTACGTCAGGCTCCACGCTCAGGTGTCTGCTTGAGATCCTCTCCTTCACCCTCTGACCCTCCCCCTGCTTGTGTGCTCGCTCTCTCTAAAATAAATAAGTAAATTGTAAAATAAATAAATAAATAAAGCCATTGAGCAGCTGTGTTCTGAATAAAAGCTGCTCACTGGATATATGCTTTGCAAAGTATTTTCTCCTAGTTTGTGGCTAGTCTTTTCATTCTCACTGTGTTTTCTGAAGTTCTTAAATTTTCCTGAACTAATTTATCAATTGTTCTTTTATGTATTATGTTTTTTGGTGTCATAGTTAAGAAGTCTTTGCCTAAAACAAGATTGTGAAGACTTTATCCTATGTTTTCTCTCAAAGTTTTAAATGTTAGATTCATAATCCATTTTGCATTACTTTTTGTATTTGGCTTGAAGTTCATAGAAAAAGTTCATTTTTTTCAGGTATATAGGTATCCAATCCCTTCTTTACTGAACTGTCTTTTCACCTTTATCAAAAATTAGGTATCAGTGTATGTGACAGTCTATTTCCGTACTTTCCATTCTGTTCCATTGTCTATCTTGTAACCGATACACTTCTTAAATCCTGAAGCTCAATTTATTTTTATTTATTTTTTAAGAAGATTTTAATTTATTTAAGAGAGAGGGAGAGGGAGAGAGCACAAGCAGGGGGAGCAGCAGAGGGAGAGGGAGAAGCAGGCTCCCCGCTGAGCAGGGAGCCCGATGCGGGACTTGAACCCAGGACCCCAGGATCATGACCTAAGCTGAAGGCAGACGCTTAACCGACTGAGCCACCCAGGTGTCCCTTAAATCCTGAAGCTTTATACTAAGTCTTGTTACCATGCAGTTTTAGCTCTCTACTTTGATCTTCTTTTTCAGTTATCTGACTGTTCTAGGTTCTTGCACTTGCATGTAAATTTTATATCCACTTGTCAAAACAAAACAAAACAAAACAAAACAAAACCTGCTAAGGACATGTTGGTTCTACTAGTGAATTTTATTTATTTTTTCATTTTATTTATTTGACAGAGTGAGACACAGAGAGGGAACACAAGCAGGAGGAGTGGGAGAGGGAGATGCGGGGCTTGATCCCAGATCCCTGGGATCATGACCTGAGCCGAAGGCAGATGCTTAATGACTGAGCCACCCAGGCACCCCTCTACTAGTGAATTTTAAGAATTGAAATTTTAATATTGAGACTACTAGCCCATGAACAATATTTCTCTTTCCATTTATATTTAGGTAGTACCTGGAAATTTCACTTATCAATATATAATTATCAGTTCAGTCTTTTGACATCTTTTGTCAGATATATGCCTATATATTTAATATTTCTGATGCTACTGCAAATGTCATTTTTAATTTAAATTTTTACCGAGATAGTTTTAGGTTCATGTGCAGTTATAAGAAATTAATAGATTCCAGCTTGAGAGAAATATGGCAACAGAGTAGGAGGACTCTAGGCTCTTCTTGTCCTATGAACACAGTTAGATAACTATCAAATCATCCTAAATAGCCCAGAAATAGACTGCAAGACTGACAGAATAAACTCCACAGCTAAAGGGAGAGAAGAGACCACATTGATAAAGGTAGGAAGTGTGGAGACCTGGTTTAGGGGAGAATGGATTGTGGGTGCTGTGGAGGGGAGGTAGCTGCGGTCGTGGAGAAGGGTGAGAGAGAGAGGAGCACACAGGGGAGTGCAAAGGGGAATGTTTCCCCAAAAATACTGGCTTGAAAATGAGAGGAACTGAATTTCATGACATCTTCCAACAAGTGGGGCTTAAAGCCTAGAGTTTTAAAGATCTGTGGGCTTGGCTGGGATAGAGTTCAGAGGGTAATGCCCCGCTCCCGGACAGAAGGCAGATAAAAAAGCCAGGGGCAGGCTGTGTGGAAACAGCTATCTGAAGAATGTCTGGGACACATAAGGGTAAGATTATTTGCTCTTCTCTGAGAGCATCCCTGAGAGGCAGCATTCACAGTGACACCTCTCCTAGAACAAAGGAGCTAGCCAGTGCCAGTTAACTTGCCCATCCCTCAGCATAAATACAGAGCCAGCACTGCACGGACACTGGTTGCCTTAATTGTTAACATCAAGCCCCACTCCCTTGCACTCTAGCAGGACCACCCTTCTCAGTCAAGATTAACGTCAGTTCCAGCATAGCAGGCCATTCCTCCAGAAAACCAGCACAAACCCTGCCCATAGTTCTGTAGGGCCTCAGTTCTGGATGAAGTGGTGTCAGGTCTCATTTCACAAGCAGCCCAGAGCACACCTAGTTAAAACTCATCATATTCACATCCAGGGATGAAATACTGCCTCCCTCAGGCAAGGAGAGTCTTGTGGACAACTGGCCTAAAGGACAGAGTAGCCAGAACACAACAGTGCATGCGGAATACACTGGAAACACTCCCTGGAAGTGCCAGGCCCTGGGCACTACATAACCTCTTCTTCATTAAGCCATTACTTTCAGGAACAGGAGACATAACTGGTTTTTCTAACACAGAGAAGCAGGCCCAGACTTAGACAAAATGAGAAGACAGAGAAAATTATCCAAAATGAAAGAACAAGATAAGGCCATGGCCAGAGATCAAAGTGAAACAGATGTAAGTAAAATACCTAATGAATAAAAGCAATGATCATAAGGATACTCATTGGACTTGAGAAAAGAATGGAAGAAATCAGTGAGACCCCTACCACAGAGATAAAAGAATTAAAAAAGAATCAATCAGAGATGAAGAATATAATAAACAGGATCAGAAACAGGCTTGATGCAATGAACAGCAGGCTGGAAGAAGCAGAGGAACAGATCAGTGATCTAGAAGACAAAATAATGGAAAATAATGAAACTGACCAAAGAGAATGAATTATGCATGAGAACAGACTTAGGAAACTCAGTGACTCCATCATACGTGTAACATTCCTATTCTAAGAGTTCAGAAGAAGAGGGAGCAAAGGGGGCAGAAAATTTACTTGAAGAAATAACAGATAAAAATTTCCTTAATCTGGAGAAGGAAACAGACCTGCAGATCCAGGAGGCATAGAGAACGCCCATCAAAATCAACTAAAGCAGGTCCACACCAAGACATATTATAATTAAATTTGCAAAATATAGTAATTAAAGTCTTAAAAGCAGCAAGACAAAAGA